ATCGAGCTATATATATATATATATATATATATATATATATATATATATATTCATATATATTATATATGTATATATGAAAAATATATCCAAAAATGCATGTGGGTATTCAAATATAAGCTCTCGATGAGTGTAACATGGCGACGAGCTTATATCTTTAGAATATATATTATATATGTATCAAAGAACATTTTTTTTTAATTTTAACCAACTTTTCAATGAATTTTTTATAGGATCAATATTTTCGCGGTAATAGTCAAAATTGATTTATTATAAAATTGCAAAAATGTTGGCCCTACTTACAATAAATTTAAATTAAATTTTTCTTATTCTCTTAGTTATATAAAATTAATAAAAAAAAAAAATGAAACCCCACACCAGTGAAGCTCAAGCGTCGTGAAAATCCGTGCAGTGTACTCAAACATAAATAATTGGAGTATCCTTATCGACAGTCGATTGGGCTTCCTTATAAATATATAAAATATATCAAATATACCGGCCGTCGATAATATATAATAAAAAACAAATGCTTCACGTAAGCTCATGAAGGACTAACAAAATGAGTGACCGGACAGGAATTTAGGTTATCACAAATAGTACAAGGGTCCAATCGGTTGTCGAGGCTGTCGGGATGGGTACCTGGATAAAGAATGCCCCCAAAATCATCATCATCATCATCAACATCATCATCATCATCCAGCTCTTCTTTATCAACATCACACTCTTCTTTATCGGCAGTATTTTCCTGAACCTCATCGTCCAGGTGTTGATCTTCCTTAGCACAGTGATTGTCCTCAGCTTTGGCACTCTTCCTCTTAGAAGACTTCCTCCTGAAGGATTTCTTGGACCGACGGTCGGTAACTTTTCCGCCGGTAATTTTCCCATCGGTAATTTTTTTGCTAGACACAAAGGCATCCTCATGGTCGCTGACAGACGAGACTGACCAGGTTGGAGACAGCGGAGACGCGGTGGATGGTAAGAGTGGGGGTGAGGGCGATGATGAAGCGGAATTAGCACACCAATGGACTTGGTAGCATGAATAAATAGATGAAGACTCGTTTGAAGTTGATTTATTGGTATTGTCGCTGCTACTGGTACTAACGGATTTTTTCTTATCATGAGAGGAGCAGAAAAAGGAGCTGGAAGTGGTAGTAGTGGTGGGGGAGAAGTGGAAGTGCTGGTGATGCTGACCTAGGCTGGCTGGCCCCGAGTCCGTCTCCTTCCAGAGCTTCGGCGAGTCAGTGTGATGGTTATGGTGGTGGTGGTGATGGTGATGGTGGTGGTTGTGGTTCTGGTGGTCACGCACCTTCGACATTGGCGTCACGGGTGTGTTTGGCGGCGTCCCGATCGTAGGTACTTCGGGGCTTGGGCTTTCTTCGTCCATTGATGTCTGACCTACCAGGTCCCAAGGTTTTTGCGCCCCCGAATTATTTCACTGGTTTTTTTTAGGCTTTTTACGTGAGTATTTAATTTCTTTTACAGTTCGATCGCTTTTTTTTTTTCAACAGGTTATGGGGCCCAGCGCAGGAAAAAATTTTTTGCACGATTTTTTTTGGATTTAAAAATTAAGATTAATTTTATTTTCACTCAGTCAAGGTTGATTTATTAGAAAAAAAAAAAAAAAAAAAAATTTGATGGGGATTGAACCCACGACCTTATAATTAGAACCTTAAATTAATTTTTTTTAATGCAATAACTTAGAAGCTATTTAAAATAAAAAAAAAAAAAATATGAAGAGGTAATTGATCAGAATTTATCAAAAAAAAAAATTTATTTTTTTTTTCTTGTTCAATTTTAAGCACTAAAATTGTTTTATAGAAAAAAATATTTTTTTAGCGATCGAACCTTTTTAAATTAACATTAAATACTCAGATAAATACACGATAAACCATAAAATGCAAATGATAACAAAATAACAAAAAAAAAATAAACGATATACGAAAAAAAAAATTGCAATTTTTTCAGTGCAAAATATATTTACAAAAAAAAATATAAATAAAAAAAAAACGTTGTAGTGGCTACTATGAAGATGACCACAGTAACCCAACCGACTCCTTAATAAACTCCAATTATTTATTTTCAGATTATAAATTATCAATTGTGTCCTAATTATTCCAAGTGTTGATTATTGTTAGTGTTTTATTATATTAGATGGTTAATTTGGTTATTAACCTTGCAAAAATAAGCAAATAGGTTTGTTAAATTTTGTACTGTGCGCGTGTACGGCAGATAAATTATATATATATATATATATTAAGATTAATTTATAGGGTAGTTAAAATGTAAGGGAGATAAAGGGTTAATGTGGTCAAAAAATTAAATAAAAATAATAATAATAATTAAATAATAATTTTGTGGAAAAATTATGGTTAATTTTACCACTTAATGCAAGCAAAGCTTAAAAAAAATAAATTAATTAATTAAATAAAATAAAATAAAATAATATATAACAAGCCCTATAATTATTATTATTATATTTATCTTTTTTTTTGACTACACACACAATTATGTTTTTTTAAACAGATTTATAAATGAGTTTTTTTTTATAAATTTGTTTAAAATTTAGTTAAATTCTAGATTTGTTGATTAGATATAAAAATATGCTTGAAAGTAAATTAAAATTATTTAATATTTTAATCTTGAGTTTTAATTGATGAAAATTTTTATTTTTTAATAATAAAATTAAAAAAATTTTTTTTCTAAAAATTGCCTCAGATTAAATTTCTGTGGAAATAAAATTTACAAACTAATAAAATAAAAAATAAAAATAAAAAATTGTAAGTGAACTGACAAATAAAATAAAATTTTAAAAAATAATCAATTAGTGTGCATGTTTAGTGATGTGTACAGTATTTTGTGTGTAATTATCACACCGAACCCAGCAGCCATCCGACATATAATTTATTAATAAAATAAAAATAATAAAAATTTTTAAATAAAATCAGATGTCTGCTGTCTCAATGGAGTTTAGTTTATCATGAAATCTAATTCAAACATTTTTAAAACACCATACACAATAAATTAATTATTAATTATTAATTAACAGTCAACAAATTCCATTATTATAATTAAATTTTAATTATAATTATAAAAGTATAAAAAGGAAATGTATTTAAAAACTCACTGTTGTTGGCCATTAGATTTTCGTGGAGCTTGTCACGTTGGTCCTCGAGGACTTCGCCTAAGTAGACGGCGACTTTGCGCGTTACCTGCTCGACGAAGGTGTCTAACTTGCCTAGGTCGTCTGACAACCCTACTAGCTGATCCAGAGTCCCGACTTTTAGGTCTGGGATGTGGAATTTGTAGTTTGCAGACAGAGAGTGCTGCTTTGATGTTAGGTTGTTCACTGTCTCCCAGGTCTGCTGGCAGGTTTTATCCCCTGGGGCTGATATTAACCAATATTCCGTCATTGTTAAGGATGTTGGTATTTCTTATCTGAAAATTAATATTTTTTAATAATTTATTTAGAAATTTTAAATGAATTCTATTAATTTTTTTTTTTTTAATTATGTATATTATTAAAAGAATAAGAAAAATTTTGTCTCCAGAATCATTCTTATCAATGGTTAATTTATTATAAGTATTTAGACTCCATTCGAAAACATCTCTAGATACATAAATAAGAAATGACCTTGTATCTTGTGAAATATTGAGATTTTTAAAGATATAAGCTCATCCTGATGTTACACTCATTGAGACCGTTCATTTGAATACCCACATCAATTTTTTATAGGTTCTTTATATGTCTCAAAAAATTTAAATTTATTTGAGATGTCGGATGTCTCGACTTGAATTTCTTCGGTAGTATCTGTACTACGAACCACATCGTCTGCTCGTACCTGACGTCCCATAAATATCTTTTTTTTTATTACAACTCCCCAGTTAATCAATCATTCTTTTTTAAATAATAATAATGAAAAAAAAAATTCAAAGTATTTAAATAAAATAGAAACGAGTAATTTACGCGATGATACTGATAACAGTTATTACAAATATCTACAGTATATTTTTCATATATACATACATATATAATATATGAAAAATTGATGTGGGTACTCAAATGAAAGCTCTTGATGAGTGTAACATCGAGATGAGCTTATATCTTTAAAATCATCAATAATTAAGAAAATTCAGTGCAATTTAATAAAAGTCATTATTCAGTAAAGAGCTTGTATTTTGTGAACTATTGACATTTTTAAAGATATAAGCTCATCCTGATGTTACACTCATCAAGACCTTTCATTTGAGTACCTACATCAATTTTTCATATATTTTATATATTTATATATATTATATAAATGTATATATAAAAAATATACCAAAAATGCATGTGGGTACTCAAATGAGAGCTCTTGATGAGTGTAACATCAGCATGAGCTTATATTTTGAAAATCATCAATAATTAAGAAAGTACAGTGCAATTTAACAAAAGTCATTATTTAGTAAAGACCTTGTATCTTATGAACTATTGACATTTTTAAAGATATAAGCTCATCCTGTTGTTACACTCATCAAGACCTTCCATTTGAATACCCACATCAATTTTTCATATATTTATATATATCATATATTTGTATATATGAAAAATATATCAAAAATGCATGTGGGTAGGCAAATGAATGCTCTTGATGAGCATAACATCGGGATGAGCTTATATCTTTATAAATGTCAATAATTAAGAAAGTACAATGTAATTTAACAAAAATCATTTTTCAATAAAGCAAAATTTTATTTATTGCTTCGCAATTCTCAGCAGTCACGTAGTGACTGCAATTTGCTAGTTTTTAAATATTTTCATTAAATCTTTCGATTCTTAAAATAAATTTTTTGTTTATGAATTTAATTGTTGAATAAAATTATTTTCAATATTTTTAATCTAAATTTGAGTAAAAAATTTCATTTTTTTTAATATTTCCAACTATATTATTATAAAAATTTTTTTTTTCTTAATTTTTAATCAAAAATAATTTATTAAATAAATTATTTTAATTACAAAACTTGAATAAAAAATTTTATTTCTAATCCTAAAAAAAATAATAATTAAAAAATTCTCAAAAATCAGCTGATTGAAATTTTCTTAAAAAACCAAAAGTTCTACTCCAATTAAATTCAATAAATAAATAGGTCAAGTACATCTTCCATCACCCACCCTCTTTACCCTTCTAATGGGTTCATTGTTTCATTAATAAAATTTTTAATATGTCTAAAATCTCTAAAAGATAAATTTCAAATTATAAATCTATTATTTCGGGGGTGTGGTTATACTCGTGAGCAATTACGTAATTAAATGATCCACGTGATCTAGAATTAGTGAGTGGCGCGCACGATCCGATCGATAATACTCTCAATGACAGCCCATTAATAACAAACACATTAATACAATAATAATTTTACAAATATAAAATTTCTTTAATTTATTTTTTAATAATTAAAAAAAAAATAAAAATAATATTTTAATTAAATTAAAATTAAAATTAATTAAAATTTACCTGGACAGTAGATCTGGATCCGTAAAAATCTAAAATCCAACGCCCAACTGAATTGTCAAAATGACTATGTGGCGCCGAAGTCTCCTGAAAAAATCAATACTCCATTAATGCTCACTCACTGTGAATTTATTTAATTAAATATTACAATTGTATTATCTTTGTGACACTGTCATATTAAAATGACATTTTATTATTAAATAAAAAAATCATTAAGAGTGTAAAAAAGAAGTTGGGAGAAAAATTAAGGCATAAAATGGCCTGCGTCACTTTTAGAGAAGTTATTTGAATAGTTTTGTTTGAATGTTTGTCACCAGGAGGTTCACTTAAGATTGATAAGTGTAATTAGTGATGGTAATAATTAAGAGGTTTAATTATTTACTTGGTTTAATTTATTGATGATTGCTGGCAGATGAATCTGGTGGAAAACTATACACTGGATGAGCGAGTTAATTTCGATAGAACCATCGTTAATTCACGTGATGTCTGTTGTTTTCACGACCCGCCCAGGGCCTAGCTCACACTTCACTGCTGATACTCATGACTGCTACCAACTACTGGAGGTGGGGAGTTTTTAGTTACTAGGGGAAAATGGGCAGTGGCGCCAAGGGCGGGAAATTTTTGAAAATTTGAATTATTAAAAGAGATCCAAGTGTTAAATTGCACTGTACTTTCTTAATTATTGATGATTTTAAAGATATAAGCTCATCTTGATGTTAGACTCTTCAAGAGCTTTCATTTGAATACCCACATGCATTTTTCATATATACATATATGTAATATATATAAATATATAAAAAATTGATGTGGGTATTCAAATGAAACGTCTTGATGAGTGTAATGTCGGGATGAGCTTATATTTTAAAAATTTTCAATATTTCACAAGATACAAGGTCTTTGCTAAATGATGAATTTTGCTAAATCGCACTGTACTTTCTTAATTATTGATGATTTTAAAGATATAAGCTCATCTTGATGATACACTCATCAAGAGCTTTCATTTGAATACCCACATGCATTTTTGATATATTTTTCATATGTACATATATATAATATATATAAATACATGAAAAATTGATGTAGGTATTCAAATGAAAGGTTTCCATGAGTATAACATCAGGATTAGCTTATATCTTCAAAATTGTCAATTTTTCACAAGATACAAGGTCTTTCCTAAATAATGACGTTTGTTATTAAATTGCTCTGTACTTTATTAATTATTGATGATTTTAAAGATATAAGCTCATCCTGATGTTACACTCATCAAGAGCTTTTATTTGAGTACCCACATGCATTTTTGATATATTTATCATATATACATATATATAATATATATTATATAAATATATAAAATATATGAAAAATTGATGTGGGTACTCAAATGAAAGGTCTCGCTGAGTGTAACATCAGGATGAGCTTATATCTTTGAAAATGTCAATATTTCACAAGATACAAAGTCATTTCTTAATTACTGTCATTTTTGAAGATATAAGCTCATCTCGATGATACGCTCATCGAGAATTTTCATTTAAGTACCCACATGACATTTTTTATATATTTTATATATATGGTATTTGTGAAATATATAAAATATATGAAAAATTGATGTGAGTACTCAAATGAAAGGTCTCGATGAGTATATTCTCATGATGAGCTTATATCTTTAAAAATGTCAATAGTTCCCAAGATACAAGGTCATTTCTTAATTATGTTTCTAGAGATAGAGCATTTTACTAAAAAAACCGATTTTATCGTATGACTGTCCTGGACAAAAAGTTTGTCTTATTCTCTTAATTAATAATATAGATTAGTTGTAATTTTTTAAAATTTATAGTAATAAATTTTTAATAAATTTCAAGATCAAATTCATAATTAATTTTTTTTAATTCTAAAAAAAATAAAGACTTACTTAGATAACAAAAAAAAACTCCCTAGAATCAGACTTACGCGCCACCTGGTTTAAAACCCAAATTGTAAACATAAAACTTACGTGTCAATCAGTGTCAACATTAAACTTCCCGAGGAGTTACAAAATACTGTGCAAAAATGCTGAAAGCGGTGATTTTAATCGGCGGACCCCTCAAAGGTAAATAATAATAATAATAATAATAATAATAATAATAATAATAATAATAATAATAAATAAAATTAACTCACCAAAATAACATCCTAGGAACAAGATTCCGTCCATTATCACTGGACATCCCGAAGCCGCTGTTCCCGATCGCGGGTCTGCCGATGATCCAGCACCACATCGAGTCTTGCGTTAAAATCAAGACCCTCAACGAAATCCTGATAATAGGCTCGTACAATGCCGCGGAGCTGGTGAACTTCGTCCAGGAGATGATCAACATATACGGGATCAGCATCCGGTACCTCCAGGAGTTCACAGCTCTAGGAACCGCCGGAGGGATGTACCACTTCCGAGACCAGATCAGAGCAGGCTCCCCAGAGGCCTTTTTTATAATGAACGGCGACGTCTGCGCGGACTTTCCTCTCGAGAGTATGATTGAAAGTTACAAAGAGACCAAAGGTACACTCACAATTTTGGCGACTGAGGCCACCAGGCCTCAGTCGCTTAATTACGGGTGTCTTGTTCTGGGGAAGAACAACTCGATTGTTCACTATGTTGAGAAACCTTCAACCTTTGTGTCCACCACGATCAATTGTGGGATTTATTTGGCTACTGTTGATGTCTTTCAAATCATGAGCGACGTTTTCTACAAGCATCAAGATAAATTTATGTAAGAATTGTTTTAAAAATTATATTATTGATTTAATTATTATGAAAATAAAGTTAGCCGACATTTCAAAATTTTTAGAAATTTTTTATTGGAAAAATTTCAATTAAAAAATTAAAAAAAAAAATTTCACTTGTAAAAAGCTTAAAAAGGTATAAGTGCAATTTTTTAAAAATATCTTTTTAGTTGTAATTTAATTAATAAAAAAAATCAAAAATTTTTAGGCGTCTGCTAATTTCAGTGTCATTAATAATTTTAAAATAGTGGCTTTAGTTTTAAAATTATGGCTCAAGGCGTAGAGATACGATAAGATTGATCAAAACTTTTTTTTAGATAATTTAATCCTCTATAAAAAAAGGTATCTTATAATTTTTTATATCATCAATACTTTAGCCACAAGCAGCAATTTAAACTTTTGAAAACTACGGATTGTCCAACAGGTTATGGGCCCAGACGTGCATTTTAGTTTTTTTAGAATTCTAGCTCAAAGATTAGAGATACGTTAAAATTGATAAGGACCTTTTTTGTAGGGAATTTGATTCTCTATAAAAAAGGTTTCTTATAACTTTTTTATATCTTCAATATTTAACCTAGAATTTTAAAATAATGACACTAATAGTATTTGGTGATGATTGTTTGTGTTTAACATTAAGATTGAGTATTTAACACACTACTTTATATATAATATTGACGTTCTAATTAGCAAATTGTCTAACTTCATTTTAGAAAATCTTCCATTTGAACCAAAAAATAATTATCATTTTAAAAAACCATTTGATATCTGATAGAGGTATAATGTTTTGGTTTAGATCTTTCAAAAAATTTATAATTGGACTATTACTACATCAAAATGTTAAAAAATCAGGAGTTAGACCAATTACTAATTAGACCGTCGATATTAATATTTTTTATGTCAATTTCGACTTCATGGCCAATTAAATAAATAAATAATAATTATAATAATAATTGTTCAGGATGAACAGTAATGGAAAGGATCCAGCTCACATTTCACTAGAACAAGATATCTTGACCCTCCTAGCAGGCACCGGAAAGCTCTTTGCTTCAGAAACAAGCAATTGGTGGTCCCAAGTTAAGACCGCAGGTGCTGCTATCTACGCAAACAGGCATTACTTGAATTTGTACCGGTCTAAGAAACCAGAGAGGTTAATCCCTGCTGTTAATGGAGTTTGCAATGTCGTGGGAGATGTTTATATCAATCCAAGCGCTTCTGTCGACCCTACGGCAGTGGTAAGCTTAATTATTAATTAATAATTAAAATTAATTATTAAAATTAATTATTGATGAAATTAATTATTAATAAAATTGTTACTTTAGTTGGGGCCGAACGTAAGCATTGGGCCAAACGCAAAAATTTCCGCCGGAGTGAGAATAAGAGAATCGATAGTCCTAGAGGGCGCTCAGATCCAAGCTCACTCGATGGTCCTCCACAGCATAGTCGGCCGGGGAAGTATTGTCGGCAAGTGGTCCCGGGTAGAGGGCACTCCTTGCGATCCTAACCCCAACAAGCCTTTCGCCAAGATGGAGAACCCCCCGCTCTTTAACAGCAACGGGAAACTGAACCCCTCAATATCAATTCTCGGGACTAGTGTAAATCTAGCCGCGGAGAAGATTCTTTTGAACTCTATTGTCCTACCGCACAAGGAACTGACCAAGAATTTTAAAAATGAAATTATTTTATAGTTGTTGGCTTTGTAATTATATGACTTTTCTGAGATAAATTTATATACATGTTTTATATATATTTAATATATACATTTGTATATTTGATATTTTTTTAAAGTGCAATTGATTTGTAAATTTTGAATTTTATTGTATAAATTGTTTACAATTTTAACTCGTTTTATTTATTTTTATTGATAAATCCTCTAGATACATAATTAAGAAATGATCTTATATATTGTGAACTATTGACATTTTTAAAGATATAAGCTCATATCGATGTTACACTCATCGAGATCTTTCATTTGAGTAGCCACATCAATTTTTCATATATTTTATATATTTTTATATATTACATATATGTATTTATGATAAATATATCAAAAATACATGTGGGTACTCAAATGAAAGGTTTTGAAGAGTGTAACATCAGGATAAGTTTATATCTTCAAAAATGTCAATAATTAAGAAATGACCTTGTATTTTGTGAAACATTGACATTTTTAAAGATATAAGCTCATATCGATGTTACACTCATCAAGACCTTTCATTTGAATACCTACACCAATTTTTCATATATTTCATATATTTATATATATTACATATATGTATATATGAAAAATATATAAAAAATGCATGTGGGTACTCAAATGAAAGCTCTTGATGAGTGTAACATCGGGATGAGCTTATATTTTTAAAATATATATTATATATATGTTTATATATGAAAAATATATCAAAAATGCATGTGGGTACTCAAATGAAAGCTCTTGATGAGTGTAACATCAAGATGAGCTTATATCTTTAAAAATCTCAATAGTTTAAAAAGAAGTGTGCAATTTAAAATTTCTTCCTCCAAAAAATTCTCTATAAAATTTTAGTTTCTAATCAAAAATTTTTTTACAATTTCGATATAAAAATTTTTACAATATTCTTCTCAAATTAATCAAATTTCTCCTTATCACAAAAATTACCCCAACAAATAAAAAATTTCTTCCTAACTCCAAAAATTCTACCCCAAATTTTTCCCTCCAAACCTTCCCCAACGATTACCAAAAAAACATAATTCTAAATTCCTGGCAGGACAAGCACCTGGATTTAAAAAAGACTTGAGTATTTATCGTAGGAGGATAAGCTTTAAAAATAACTCACCAGCGTCGCTTAGATCAGTGGGCCCGTGAGTCCCCAGCCTTTGTCTCTGTCTTCCCTGGAACTTTTCTCCATTCCATGTGACTCCATACCTTTCATCACACACTCACACACTCTCGTTACCCAGCAGTTACCTGGCATGTCACTCTCAGCTACCAGCATCCGTGTGTATAAAAGTATTAACACACTAGTCCCCAACAGGTACCACGGATTCTTTTCTCATCCGTGTCTTTAGCTCTTCATTCCTTGACTAAGCCTCCAGATTCTAACCCTGTGCAGTGTTTTTTATTTATTTTATTATTATTAATTATCATTATTTATTATAAAAAATTATTTATTGTTAATTTTCAATTTTAATACTCACTCGTGGAATTTTTGTGGAGCAAATCTAACGGGCAGGATCCAGCTAATAAAATTAGTTCTAAAAAAAAGTATAATAATAAATTAATTTATTTTTAAAAGTGTGATTTGTGATAATTGTGAAGAAAAAATAAATTTCTTTTTTTTTGCTTTGATATTTTTGAGCGTATCCTGATTAAGAATGTCATCTACTCAATGACACGTGAGGAATGTGGTAAGTGGACTGTTTAATTTATCTTCTTAGTGTTCTGTGAAAATAAAAATTTTTTTTTTACATTAAAATTTGCAAGAATTAAGAATGCATTTTTTTGTAAAAAGGGTTTTTTTTCTAATAAATGACAAAAATTATTTAGTAAATTTTTAGAATTTTTTTAATGAAAAAAAATTAAATGACTTTTGTTAAATTGCACTGTACTCTCTTAAATATTAACATTTTTTAAGATATAAGCTCATCCTGATGTTACACTCATCAAGAGCTTTCATTTGAGTACCCACATGTATTATTGATATATTTTTCATATATACATATATATATAATATATAAATATATAAAATATATGAAAAAATTGATGTGGGTACNNNNAAATATATAAAAAATTGATGTGGGTACTCAAATGAATTGTCTTGATGAGTATAATCTAGGGGTGAGCTTATATCTTAAAAAATGTTATTAGTTGACAAGATACAAGGTCATTTTCTTAATATTGACATTTTTAAAGATATAAACTCATTTTAATGTTACACTCATCGAGACCTTTTATTTGAGTACTCACATGCATTTTTAATATATTTTTCATATATACATATATATGATATATACATATATAATATATATAAATATATAAAATATATGAAAAATTGATGTGGGTATTCAAATGAAAGGTATCAATGAATGTAACATCGAGATGAGCTTATATCATAAAAAATGTCAATAGTTCTCAAGATACTAGCTCATTTCTTAATTATGTATCTAGAGATTCAAAATTTTTCTTAATAATATAATTTAAATTTCAGAGGAGCGAGTCAATCCTGATCCAAATGGGCAGGGTGGCCCATTATGGCCCATCAGCACGTTCAACTAAATAACAATAATAATGTCAACGGAAATGTCAATAATAATAATAACAATAACAATAATATTAACAACGTCAATGTTAATGGGAACGTCAACGATGTGAATGTTAATGTCAACAGCAATATCAACAATATAAACCAGCACGAGTTCCTTCCGCTGTGCGATGTTCTTTTTAACATAATTTCCCTCGCTTCATATTTTTGTGATGTTGTCTTCGACCTGGCGATGGGGTACGCCCTCGCCAATCATCCTACGGCTCCAGCTGTTTTGTTTCCGATAAGCATTGTTTTGGTTGTTACTTCTTTGATTATTTCTCAGGTGAGTTTCTTAATATTAACTTAAGAAATTTCTTTTAAAGGTCAATATTGATGTTCATAATTTGGATTTCAGGTCGTGAGTATAAGATGGTACCTGTGGGGAGCTCGGGGGAAGCTGAACCCGACCGAGAGCTTGCCGGAGAAGAACCGGGTCAGAAACTGGATACTCTGGTGCGTCGTTTTTCTCCATACGAGTCAGATCGGAGTACTGTGGCGGTACTTCAAATTGTTTATTCCAGTTGACTTGACTTATGTTAAGCACGAGGTAAAATTATTTTTAAGTAATTCAAAATTCTGAGTTAAATATTGGAGATACGAAACACTATAAGAGGCCTTTTTTGTCCTAATTAATTTTAATGTATCTCTAATCCTTGAGCAAGAATTTTAAAAATACTAAAATCCAAGTCTGGGCCCATAACCTGTTAAATGATTTGTAGGTTTCAAAAGTTTAAAGCATTAATTTTAGCTAAAATATTGAAGATACTGTTGGAGTCATCCTACGTACCCCTACTATCCTATCATCATCACTATAGCATAAGAATACAATTGTACTAATCACTAATCAGTCTGGTACAATAAACCATCAGGTATAAATGCATATGTAATGGCTCTTTGTCACTAATACTCATTAACCTGAACCAGTATTCCACTAGACTCCAACAGGTTATGGGCCCAGGTACATTGTTTGGGTAATGAAGTAAACAAGTAAAAGTAAGGTTTCAAGTTGAACATAAGGATTTTAGTTAACTTGAAAGAGTAAAGTAAAGTGAAGCACGTTTAAGTGCATAAAGTAAAGGTCAAGTAAAGTAAAGTTAAGGTGTTGTAATTGAGAGATTCGCTATTTCCTGTAGCTAAGGTGTTATAATTAAGCGACTTTTAATTAAATAAAATAAAATGAAGTAAAGCTATAGTAAAATTTGAACTTTCAAGTAAAAATCTTATCTTTTCTTCGAAATTTGAATTTAAAGTTCAAAAATCAACTTATAAAACTTATCCGTAGTTACTGAAAGTTTAATTTACTGTATTTGGCTAAAATATTAAAGATATATAAAAATGACAAGATACCTTTTTGATTGAAAATTAAATTTTCTACAAAAAAATCTCAATAAATTTTGCCCTATCACCAAACCTTAAGCGAAAATTCTAAAAATACTGAAATACACATCTAGGCCCATAACCTGTTGAAATATTAGTAGGTTTCAAAAGTTAAAAGCCATAACTTCAAAATAAACTCTGAATAATTCAAAATTTTACTTCTAGGTCCGTGAATTGTGCGTTTTGCGACTAATCCACGCATTCTGCGAAGCAGCACCAATGCTTCTTCTGCAGCTGTACTTACTATCAACCTCCTTAACCTCCAAAGACCGTGACCGTGAGGACACAAAGCTCTCCGAATTAACGGCAGTATCAGCAGGTCTATCTTTATGGAGCGTTTGCTGGGCAGTAGCAAGCTTCAGCAAGGGCGCAGCTCGCCTGAGGAACCTGGAGCGACTGGTCCTGACCTGGTTGGGAGTCCTGGCACAACTGGCCTGGCGATTGGGGACCGTCAGTGCTAGAGTAGGAGCTCTAGTAGCTTACGCTTCGCTCTACGGAGGCTCCTGGTTGCTGGTAGTCCTGGGGCTTCACTGGCTGTCGATGCTGACCTGGCTGCTGCTGACTCCTGATGGACTCTTCCACGGAGGGGAAAGACTCACTCTAGCCAGGAAGACCTTCCTCGCTTGCTTGCTGGCGTTCGTCTATGTCTTCGCTTATGTTAACCTCCACGAGACTAATCACCGCCAGAAAATGATCATCTTCTACACGGTGATGTTCCTGGAGAACTGCTTGCTAATTAGTGTCTGGGCAGTTGGAGCTTCGGCTGAAATTGGACGGCAAGTCCAGATTGGTGCTGCCAATCCGGACCAAGTACAAATCAGGCCTGTCACGCTGGTTCTGGTTCTGATGGCGCTCTTTTTCGGAGGACTCTTCTTTATGGGACTCTACTACAGGTTCTTTCATGTTAGAAGGCTTGGGTATGAAGCCGGTGGTAGGATGAATGCCAATGGCATGCCTCAAGATGTTGACAAGCATCTTCAGTATAATAATTATGTCAATGAAGTCCAGGTTGTGAGGAAGGTCAAGCTTAGCAATAATGGAATCCCTGGGGTGTTTAATTGCAGGTTTGTTAAATTGCACTGTACTTTCTTAAATATTGAATTTTTTAAAGGTATAAGCTCATCCCGAGGTTACACTCATTAAGAGCTTTCATTTGAATACCCACATCAATTTTTCATATATTTTATATATTTATATATATTATATATATGTAAATATGAAAAATATATCAAAAATGCATGTGGGTACTCTAATGAAAGCTCTTGATGAGTGTAACATCAGGATGAGCTTATATTTTTAAAATATATATTATATATATGTTTATATATGAAAAATATATCAAAAATGCATGTGGGTACTCTAATGAAAGCTTTTGACGAGTGTAACACCGAGATGAGCTTATATCTTTAAAAATGTCAATAGTTCTGAAGATACAAGGTCATTTCTTAATAATATAGATTATTAATATTAAATTTGAATTCCAGGTTCACAAATCCAACTGTAGTCGCACTTAACAGAAAAAAGAAGAAACCAACGAGCTTCGTGCCCCCGCCGTCGAACAACCTGGGGGGGTTTTGTGACAACAAAAACTACAACCGGCAGCTGATTCCCTTTTGGAAGCGACCTCTGCACGAGGAAGAGGAGGAGAAAGAGCAGGCTAAGATCCAAATTGGGACTCTGAATGTCCATTTGATCCGCGAAAAGCTCAGGGAGAAGAAGCAGCAGCAGCTCAGAGAGCTCAGAGCTATTCAGGAGGAAATTAAAGAGGGGAAATTGGTCCCTCCTGGAGAGACCAGTGAGACTGCCATCACTGGAAACCCTCCGCCTCAAAAGAAACTCCAGCCTACCGCGAATACGCTGCAATTCGCGGGCTTAGGTTCTGGAGCGCTGAGTCCTACAGGTTCTGGCTCCAATGTTCCAGGGCTGGAAAATGTTCCCAGTCAATGGCCGCCGATTAAAATGCACTGTTTAGTACCCCCAGCGCCGCCTAATTACCACGTGATAGGCAACGACTGGAAGCGAGAGCGTCCGGAAACTCCTGAGATTCTTCTCGCGCCAAGATGTCTTCCTCATCACTATCCTTACTGGACTTCTAATCACAGGTTTGTTTATTTTTATTATTATTACTTTTAAACTAAATTATTTTCCAAAATTTTGAATTTTTATTTTTAATTCCAAAATTCTGGCTAAAATATTAAAGTTACAAAAAAAATTATTAAACCTTTTTTGTAGAGAATTAAATTCCCCACAAAAAAGGTTTTATAAATTTTGTCGTAGCTTCAATAGTTAAGCCAGAAATTAAAAAATACTAAAATACAGGTCTGGGCCCATAACCTGTTAAAGAAAATTAATTTTTTTAGATTAAGAACTCAAAATAACGAAGAAGACAGCGCAAAGGAGCCTAATGACGACGAACTAAGCGACTTAGAAGGTAGTCAGGTGTCTTTACCCCGTAGTTACACGTTACCACGTGAATTCAAGTATCATTCTGGCAACCCGTCACGTGAGCGACGTATTAATATTAATAAAGTACAATCTCCAAGATTCTACTTGCCGTCTACAAACAGTTCCGATGGTAAGTAGAAAATTACATTCTCAAATGACTTCAACTTGACCCCATATTTTTTTATATTCATTCGAAAGATTATGATTTAATACATCCATAGAAAAAAAATCAGATTTTTATATCACACCGTTTAAGAGATATAATTAATTAAAGTTTTGCAAAAATACACGGTCTCTTATGAGTGTCCTTGTTCAATAACTCCGGAAATGGAGGATTTATAAAAAATTGGCCAACTTGACCCAGTAAAAAAAACTTTCCAATAGATAGAACAGTGTTTTATACATATTCTATCAAAATTTGATAACGATTTACCACATAGTTTTAATTTAATTAATTTTTTAATATCAAAAATTGGTTTCTATCTTTGTTGTTTGTCGGAGACATTACTCCCCCATCTTTCTTAAGGAAAAAATGGCGATTTCTCGGTGCGCGGCAAATTTGAAATTGAAATATAATCATAAAGTTTTTTTGCATTTAAATAAATTGTTATTAAACATATATTAAAAGTTCACGTAAATTATAGCAGATTTAATATATTGAAGTGATATTTGCAAATTTAAACAATAAATAAACACCGTGAGCAACTATTTTAAGTATCGACCTTACATAACCTATAACAGTTGTTATTGTTTTGTGACAGCCCAGTACTTGTCAGTTGATATTTTAATAGTTATATTATTATAATTATTTGACCATAATTATCAATTGAATTTAATCAATTAAATTCTGATTAGAAATAAGTTTATATTTTATGCTATTTTGCGAGTGATCACTTGCAAAAAAAAAAAAATATCTATTAATTTGACTTCGGAATGCGACGATCAAACTACCTTAAGCCTTATTCCCAAAATTTTTATTTACTTCAACAGGTTATGGGCCCAGGCCTTTTTTCAAAATTTCAAAAAAATCATGTGGGTACTCATTTTAAAGGGAATTTAACCCCGAATTAAAAAATACCCTTTAAAATTATGTTATGACATTCAGGAAAATTTAATAATTGATTTTTTTTCTAGGCGACGTCGACAGCGCGGATAACGAAGACGAAACCGACACAGAGCTGCGAGACGGTATCGAAGGAGGAAAACAGTACATATTTCCAGATCGTCAGATGTCTCAGAGCCAAATCGAGGATTGTCTGCCTTCAGAGGGTCTCAATAGCCCTTCTGGAGTTATCAGCTCAATTGACGATAACTTTGATTGTTACTTAAACAATTCCTACGGCTCGCGCGTTAATCAGCTGTTAAAAGCTAAAGTTAAACACGAGACTAAATTATAATTATTTTTATTTAATTTAATCGTACTAGAGAATTTAAAGACTAAGTATTTAATAATTAAATTACCTGCTTATTTTTTTTTAACTATTCTTTTTAATAAAATATTTTTTAAATTATTTTTAGTCTCAATAAAATTCATCCCGGAATTTTTAGGTGATTGCGTTGCCTAGTTTGATAAAAAAAAAAAAATGTGATTTACTATCGAGTACCTGGGATCTGTTGGCACGGCTCTACTCTTAGCCCACCTCAACTGGTCTGCATATGAATGCATGTGTGTGTGGGTGAGGGGGAGAGTAAGTTTGTATCCCACAGGAAAGCACTCATCCACGTCCTGTGGGCATTGACTATTGATCACAAATTTACTGACTACACTCAATAGGACCGGAGTTTTATATTTTGATAAACGGAAGCTATTTAATTATTCCGGGGGGTAATTAATTGCGGGTATTAATTATGTTTATTTATTTGGGAGGAAAAATTTACAAATTGAATTTTTTAGTGTATTTCTAGACACATAATTGAGAAATGACCTTGTATCTTGAGAACTATTGACATTTTTAAAGATATAAGCTCATCCTGAGGTTATACTCATCGAGACCTTTCATTTGAGTACCCACATCAATTTTTCATATATTTTATATATTTATATATATATATGTATATGAAAAATATATCAAAAATGCATGTGGGTACTCAAATGAAAGCTCTTGACAAGGGTAACATCAGGATGAGCTTATATCTTTAAAAATGTCAATATTTAAGAAAGTACAGTGCAATTTAACAAAAGTCATTATTTAATAAACTTTTTAATTAAACAAAAATAGTTTATAAATTCATAATTAATAAATAATTATAATTGCAATTATAATTATTGAAATGTGTAGCGAGACACGTATAAAGCATTCATTGAGCAAAATGAAATTAACCTTGCTATATTACGCGATTATATCTCTGTTGTTGCCCGGAATATAGAAAATAGCTGTCTTACTTTAACCCCCCCCCCCCAGAGCTTTCGGGGCGAAAAAGGGGCTAGAATTGGAGTAGGGGGTACTAGAATCCCAGTATATAGTGTAAGTGTGTAGTACAGTGTAGTATAGTATAGTGTAATAGTGTAGTATAGTGGGCTAGGTTAACCCATCAACGTATAACCGAGTACGCACGAATTTAACCGTGACTTGCCGAGTGACCTCGCTGAAGGTGGAGTTAAAAGCTTCAATGCAAGGATTACACACCAAGAAGTGGGGGTGGGCGGCGCTCGAAAGCTCGGAGAGCTTTCGGAGGGGAAATCATGGATTTTTTTACCAGACAACAAAGAAAAGATTGGATACCCAGAGGACAGCTAGAGCTTTCGCCGGGATTTCGAGCTTTTTGGTAGAATTTTATCAAAATTCAGCTTAAAAAATTTTTTTAAAATAAATTTCATTATAATAAACCTTTTTTGAAATTTTTAAAAAAGATTTTTAATAAATGACAAATTTTTTAGAGCTTAAAAAAATTTATTTTAGGTAATTTTATAAAAATTGAACATTTTTTCATTTATTAATAAATTAATTTTGAAAAAAAGCTTTTGGAAAATTTTTAAAAGAGATTTTTAATATAAAAATAATTTTTTAAGACGTTTTAGAAACTTATTTCAAAGAATTTCATTAAAATTGAGCTTTTAATTTTTTTAAAAATAAATTTATATATAAAAAAGCTCCTTTAGAATTTTTTAAAGAAGATTTTTAACAAGTGATAAATTTTTATGAGCTTTAAAAAATTTATTTATTCAGACATTTTTATCAAAATTGAGTTTTTAAAATTTTTTAAATAAATTTATTTTGAAAAAAAAGCTTTATTGAAATTTAAAAGAGTTTTTTAATAAGAAAAAAAATTTTTAGGAGCTGAAAAAAATTTATTTTAGATAATTTCATCAAAATTAAGCTCTTAAAATTTTTTTTTAATAATTTTCTTTATGAAAAAAGCTTAAAAAAAATTTTTAAAGAGATTTTTAATAAGAATAATTTTTTTAGGAGCTTTTATAAAATTATTTTAAAAAATTTTATCAAAGTTGAGCCTTTAAAATTTTTTAATAAATTTATTTTTAAGAAAAAAGCTTTTTTGGAATTTTTAAAAGAGATTTTCAATAATTAACAAATTTTTTTGAGCTTTTAAAAATTTTTTTTTAGATAATTTTGTCAAAATTAAGCTTTTAAAATTTTTTAAGTAAATTTATTTATTAAAAAACCTTTTGAGAAATTTTTTTAGGTACTTTTTAAAAATTTATTTGAAATTATTTTTTTTTTAATTGAGCTTTTAATAAATCAAATTTTAAATAATAAATAAAAATGAACTGTGTTAATTATTTCATCAATTTTAGTCAATAAAAACCTCTCAAAAAAAAAAACATAACCTCTAAAAAGTAAAAAAAAATTTTTTTCTTTTTAATTTAAAATGTAGAATTTATTTATTAATTTTTTTTCATAACAAATTAAATTATTAAAAATATTAACGTTAACTTTAGTGTAATTAATCAATAAAAACTCAAAAATTACGCTTACCTGTCATTGTTTACTCAAAAAAAAAGTTCCAAAACAAAGAAACCTAACTGACAAAATAACCAAAAAAAAAAAAACACTGAATTTAACAGTCCACAAATTTTTTAATAATTATTTTATAATAAATTAATTACAATTGCACAAGTAACAATTAATAGAAATAATAACAATTGTTAATTTATTATAATAAAATTGTTAAAAAATTTTTTAAAATTGACAGCTGACGGCTAACTTCAGTCTATAACAAAAGAGGGGAGCGTTAAAAGTGAGAGTATCAGTAGCGCGCGCGCGCCAGCCGCGCATGCGCAGAACTACCGCGCCTGCGCAGTAGTTAATTCTAATATCAAACTGAAAGTAGCGTTTGGCCGGTGGCAGCAGTTCTCTTGGACCTTTTCTCGGTAAAACTGTCAGAAGGTATTCTCTAAAAAACTAACCTAAAATAATAAAAGTGTTGAGAAAATAATTTAGTGCGAAAACAATTGTTTAAAATGTCCGCCGACAGCCAAGTCACCTGGGACACCGAGAAGTGATCGATCGGCGAGTAAAAGCTTCCCATGTGGATACTTACATCTTTATACTATTTAAATATAAATATATATAGATGTATTTATTAATATATAAATATAAAAAACGGTGCTCGGCGATGAGGAAGTGAAAGGTGCTCACAAATCTTGTTTAAAGTCGTGATGAGGATTGTGTCACGGTTAGGATACGAGTACTGCGAGTACCGTGTTACTTTTAAGGATCTCTTTAATAATAATAATAATAATAATAATAAATACCTTTTTTATAAATTTACAACGCGCTGGCACCATTTACGAACTCCTGGAGTGCCGATTAGAGAAAAACCGGCGTCTTGGTCATTAACCGGCACTTAACAATTGTAAATTAATTATTTATTATTGTTGATAATAATTGCATGAGTGATGGAAAACAATGTGATAATTTTGTGAGTGGTTTTTAAATGTTTTTGTTTATGATGGGTGGCTTTGAGAATTATAAGAGCTGGTAATTGTTTTTTTTGACAGGAGTTTTTTGTGGTTTTTTTTTATAATGTGAAATGCGAGTAATGGATAAGTATATTTGGTAAGATTTACGAATTAAGGTTAGGAGTGATTGTTGGGGATTGGTAGTGTAACTATGCTCAAGTTTTTAACGCACAAACTGAGGACTCACTCGATCAACGAGGATCCTAATCATGAAAAGGTGGGATTTTTTTTTTTTATTTTGGAGTAATTATTGTGACAATAATTTTAGTAAAGTTAGCTGACATTTTTATTAAATTAGAACTAAAAATTATTTTTTTTAAATTGCAATTATAGTTTTTTACAAATAAAGATTGTTTTTTTTTTTTTTTTTTTTTTTATAATAAAAAAATTATTAAATGCCAACTAACTCAATGGAAATTTTAATTTTTGAGAGTTTAAATTTAAATTATTGAATAAAAATTTAATAATTTGTAATTAAAGTGAATATTTAAAAAATAATTTTTTTTAAAAGCAAAAATTAGAATAAAAATTTTCAAAATAATTATAAGCCTAAAAAGAAGAAACTTAAATAATTTATATTGTAAAATAATTAATTTTTTAAAAGAAAATTTTTTTAAATATTGCACTTATAGTTTTTTATAAATCAAAATTGTTTTTTAATAATTTTATAACAATTTTTTTGATAAAATATTTTTAAATGGCGGCTAACTTGATTTTTATAAAAAATTTCAAATGGATAATATTTTTTTACTTGATTTTTTGGAGTTTAAGTTTAAATTATTAAATCAAAATTTAATAATTGATAATTATAAGTGATAAAATAATAAAAAAAAAATTTTTATAATATCAAAATTATTAAATGTCAGCTAATTTAATTTTTATAAAAAATTTCAGGTTAAAATTTTTTTGTAACAATTTTTTTGATATTTTTGTAACAATTTTTTTAATAAAAAAATTATTAAATGACTAACTTTATTTTTATAAAAAATTTCAGGTGAAAATTGTGATTTTTGCGAGTTAAAATCTAAATTATTAAATCATATAAGTGATAGAATTATTGAGAAAAATTTTTTTTTAGGTAAAAATTGTCATTTTATAAATAAACAACAATTTTTTAAATATTTAAAATAGTTATAAGCTTAAAAAAAAAAAGAAAATTAAATGATCTATATCCTAAAATAATCAATTTGTTAAAAAAAAATTTTTTTTTAAATTGTACTCATAGTTTTTTATAAATAAAAATTGTTTTTTTACCAACTTTGTAATAATTGTTTTAATTAAAAAATTTTTAAATGCCAGCTAACTTAATTATAAGTGAATTATTTATAAAAATTTTTTTTTTTACTAATAAACATTTTTTAAATAATTATGAGCTTAAAGCTAAATTATTTAGATTAAAAAACAATTTTTTTTTATTCAAAATTGTTATTTTATCAAAGAAACTTAAAAATTTCGCTCTTAATTATTAATATAAATAAATAATAAATGTATTTTTTAAAATTGAATTTTTTTAAGCTTTAAATTTAATTTTGAATTAATTTAATGACTTATTTATATTAATTTGATTTATTATTATCAAAAAAAAAATGAAATTTTGAATTTATAAAACAAAATTAAATAACTTATACAAATAAAAAAACAATTGATTTTTTTTAAGAATTAAATAGTGAAATTATAATGACAATAATAAAAAAAAATGTATAAAAGGTATATTTACACATAATGTTTTTAGAAAAGGTGAACGAACGATCGAGCAAACGTTAGCAGAATGGTGTAGTATCATAACATAAAAGTAGAAGAGTAGAGAAGTTTAGTATCTGGATCGGAGTATGGATATCATACAGAATATGGAATACAGAATACAGATAGGGACCAAACTAGAATTTCTCTACAGTACACCAGAGATCATTAAATAGTTACTACATATAATACAATGCATAAACTATAATCTGCAATGTGCTCCGCTACATCTCTATATATATATATATATATATACAAATATATGTATAGATATCTTGAATGTTGGGTGGTTAGTTGCCGAAATAAAGACAGACATAGAGGACTAAACCACGTGTTACTCTGTCTATATCCCATATAACGTTCTATCTAATCCCAATCTCGGTACTACGTCGCGTTGCTAATGCTAACTAAACAGGGTATAGTACCTTAAATTGTCCTTGTTGGTTCTGCAGAGAGAAGAGCCCAAAGAAAGGATAGAATAATTTGCTTTGCTACGATTGATAGAGGAATGTTAGGAGTGGGGGAAATTGGGAATATTCTGTTTGATTTAAGATTTTTTTTTATAGGTCACAGTGAAAATTTTCGAGAATTTCCAAAGAAATGCCTACATTTTGGATATTCTAGAATTTTGAAAAAAATTTCGGGGAATTTTAATAATTTTAAAAGAAAATTTCAAATTTCCAGAATTCTTAAAATTTTTAAAGGCAATTTTCTAGCCTTAAAAATATTATTTCTTATAATTTTAAGATAATTACTTCGATTTGTTTAATTTTCACAGTTAAAAAATTTTTTTTTTAAGTATTTATATTCAAATATGTTATAATTAATATAATAAATAATAAAAATATTTAATTTTTAAAAATATAAAATAAAATAAATTTTTCAGGTGGATGATGACCATGACTCAGGAACCGAATCTGATGATGAGTTCCAGGACGGCATTGATGAATCAATCGAGCCTTCGAGTCGTCAGTATTCTTTTTTATTTAATTAATAATTATTCTTATGAATAATGAAATTTTGAACATGGTTTATACGATGAAAATGAGTGAAGTAGTAGCAAGCAAAAGCGGTAGCGATTGTCCTCGCGGAATTCTAGAGATTTGCGGGGAGATAGAGACCCTCGTGGGAGGAAGAATGAATTAACTGTTGGGATGTTAATGTGGATTATTATACATGTGTGTTTGTATAAATATGGGAAGGGAGGGTCATGTTAAGATCAAGGGAGAAGGTGAGATACCTCAAATGAGCTACATACTTGTTAATTTTATTAAAAAATGTTATTAATAAATCAACAAGTAGTTTATTCATTTAAATTCAAAACTTTAAAATTCTGGATCAAATATTGAAGATAAAAAAAAATTACAAGAATTAAATTCCCTACAAAAAAAAATAAAATACGAGTCTGGGCCCATAACCTGTTAGAGTAAATAAAATATTGATAGAAGGATTTGTTTATATTAAATAAATTAAATATTAATTAAATAACAGTTAATAAGTAATTTATTAACTATTAATAAATATTTATTAATGGTTAATGAATATTTGTTAACTGTTAACAAATATTTATATAAAATAAAAAGCAAAAATAATTTTCTTTTGACACTTTTTTATATCTCTAGCTGGTAATAACATACATGATATTAATTAAATTCACTAAATAAATTAACCTTTTTAATATTTAAAAATATAAAAGATAATTATTCACTGTGATAGAATTTGGGCTTTTACAATCAACGTTATTATAATGTAATGTAATTAATGCAAATAATTTATAAAGATGATTTTTGTTTATAAGCAATCTTTATATCATATTTTGCAAGCCAAACAAATTCACTCAACAAAATATTTAATTACTGTTAATAAATGTACTTTCCTCCCAAATAAATATTTATTGAATGTTAAAAAATATTTATTAAAATTGAATAAATTAATTGTCTTCAAATAAATTAAATTATTAATAGTTAATAAATCCTTCTATCAGCCCATAACCTGTTAGGATAATTAACAACTCTATCTTTTATCCTTAAGCCATAATTAAAGGCTTGAATCTTCACCGCTTCATTTAACAATATAACTTAATAATTATTCATTATTATTATTATTATTATTATTATTATTATTATTAAATTGACAAATCAACTGTCTACTTTAAGAAAAATAAATAAACCTCAGCAAGATGTCAAACGATTGATAGCTGATCGTTGATTAGATATCTGTTGCTATTCATAATTCATAATTAAATTTATTAGATATGTACATAAGTGTAATGCTGAGTTATATTATTCAGACACTTGTGTACATAACACACACGTTCAAGTTCAAGGCCGCGACTTTAATATCATATTTAAACTATTTTAATTTAGTTTTATAAATACTGGGCCACCACTCTACTCCTACATCCTCAACTTGGTAGACCTCCGCTTAGTATTTAGTACCAGCCGTTACATACTTAACACTCTTATATATTATATATATTATTACAACCGCTTTGCAATTATGTAACCAGTTAAATTTGTTTATAAATTTTCGCAATCGCTTAGATAAAACAATAATTATTATCGTTGTTTAAACGGGTATCAAGCTTATGTATTATTTATTGCTAGGCATATATTATCATTCGATTATATATTTAAATTACTCTGCTACTATATTATATTCTCTTATATACACCGTTGTTACGCTGTTATGCTGTTATTGTTCATTTGCTGAATAATCCACTAATTATTACCGTGTACGCACCCACGGTTGCTTTTTTTTTTTTATTAATACAATACTTATTTAATAATTATTGCAATAATAATAATAAATAGTCTTTATTTTTTTAATTTTGGTTTAAGGATTAAACATAGAGTTGAGGTACTGATAGAAGGATTTATTAACTATTAATAATTTAATTTATCTGAAGACAATTATTAAATTTTAATAAATATTTATTAAATCCTATAATGTTAAAAAATCATTTATTAAAAATTCATAAAGCTTATTAAATATAATTAAATCCTTCTATCAGTGTAGTTTAAGGACTAAAGAGTTGATGTTATTTACTCTAACAGGTTATGGGCCCAGGCGCATATTTTAGTTTTTTTTAAATTCTCGCTCAAGGGTTAAAGATACGATAAAATTAATTAAGACCTTTTTTGATAGGAAATTAAATTTTCTATAAAAAAGGTCTCTTTTAAAATTTTTTCATATTTTCAATATTTTACTCAGAATTTTGAATTGAAATCTACATACAAAATTTGACTGAAAAAACTAGTTTTTTTTATTTATTAATAATTTTGTTTTTTCAACAATAATAGAGTCTCGAGAGACGAATGATAGTATACATAGTAGTTGATAGTACGGGGTAAGAGATAGTAAGAGTAAGAGTAAGAGTAATAGTAAGAGGTATTGTATACTATATAACACTCGAGAGGACTAGAGATTATAGACTAGACGCTGAAGACTCGATAGTTGTAGTACTATTACTTGTAACCCTACTATATATGATATACGGAATACGGAATACGGTATCAACTAAAGAGACTTAATTACCACGAGTAGAATGTGTCTCACCGTGGATGGACGTCAAGCAAGGACAAATGTGGGTCGAGAGGAATTCGAGACTTGGTAATGTGCCGGCGAATTTACGCGGATACTAGCTAAGATAAATTAAAGATGCCAGAGATTGTCATATACTTTAAAATTTGAATAAAAATCCCAAAAATTTCACACTTTTAATTAAAGTAAAAGCCTCAATTATTGACACTATTAGAGACAAAGTTATGATTTGATTTTTTTTAAGCAATCAAATATCAATATTAAATTTTGTATGTGGTAATGTCTGAAGTAATGTTTTTACTAATAAATTTCTTTTTTTAAAATGATATATATTTAAATATATTTAAAAATAATTTATGGTGTCAATATTTAGACCCCTGTCAATAATTGGGGCTTTTACCTTAAAAATTTAAAAAGAAACCAGCAATTAAAAACTTATTCAGGGTTTTTTATACTAAATTTTTTATTAAAAAATCCGTAAGATTTAAAAATAAAATTAAAAAAAAAAAGTAATGACGTAAACTAGCCGTAGATGAAGATATCAAATTGTATAGTATGTAATTTCATCATTTGAAGCCCGTATAGCATCGAGTTACTGAAAATTATTCATCTTCATTTTCAGGCAAACTTCACTAAAAAATTTGATACACAGGGAAACAATAAATTTAAGTTTTTTGTTGCGAAAAAATCTTTCCGAGATATAAAGGTTGTTATAATTTTTTTTTCTGTCTGCTTTTTTATGCTTGCAAGATTCTGCGGTAACGATCTGGCAAAACAAAGGAGCCAGGACAAAGGGCGGATATACATATATGTATATTGTATATTGAGAAAAGTCTGAACAGTGTATTCTCCATAGCTCCGTTAATGCAGAAACACATGTTGGTATTATATATTATATAAATATATAAGTATATATATATATGTATGTATCAAAGTTACGTTACATTGCTTCCGGCAGTTTGATTACTCACTCATCTCTGATTTGCGATTATTATAGCATAGAGAGATGGAAGATTTCACGGAGCAATAACGTAATCACTCTGAAAATTAATCAAAGTTCTCCAGTCTCTTTCGATCAATCGACGGAGGATTAAATTTTTTTGAATTTCGTTTTGAAATTTGAAATTATATATAGAGGCTTGAAAAAAATATACATAGCAAAAATTAAGACTGGAAACATTTTTATAACAGAAAAAATCCCGAAAAAAACTAAATATAAATATTGAATTCATCAATTTCGAAATGTCCTTTTTTGGGTCCTACAAAAATTTTTTTCTAAAAAAATTTATTTAATCAAAAAAATCCTAAAAAACGAAAGAAACTTTTTAAAACTAATCTGAGTTAAGAAATTTTAAATAATGCCACGCCCATAAAAATAAAAAATAGGATTACAAAATGGCGCAAATATTTGTATAATATAAATACGAAGTTAGTATTTGCCATTAACCGCTCGCTTTTGAGGACACAGACGGCACTTGATGTATAATATGAGTAAATTAAATGAGAGTAGTTAGGGTGGAAACTTGCGAACTGTTTATGGAACTTGATACAGCGGTAACATGGACCGCAGAGCTGTCCTCTGTAAACACTAGATAGTTTTTTCTATTAAATCTAACAGCAGTTCATCAACAATAATTGTTTCTTCAAATATCCAATATTAAAAAATAATATCTTTATCTAGAAATTTGAGAGGTTAAATTTTTAATTACGAAGTGAAATAAGTTTAAAATATCAAGTAAATAATAATAATAATAATAATAATAAATTTTGAGGAGTTTCGTGAGTAGAGAGTAAAGAGTAAAAGGAAATGAAGATGGAGATGATCCACCCGGCGCGAAGAAATGTCAGAGAGTAACTGCAAGTTTAATTGCGCGAAAGAAATTGCGAAGCTCTCAGACTGAAACTCTATACTTGTTTCCTCTCTAAGGGTGAATTTCGGCTCCAACCTCCACCCACAAGACGTCACTTTCAGAACTAAACTTTTAACTCGCTTTGCTCTTTATCTTAATATTTTTAATTATCATAATCATTAATCACTTTTTTTAAAAATAGCTTGTAACAAGTATACAAGTATATCAATAGTAGACAGTCTAACCATTGAAAATATCTATAATGATCCTAAAAAAGGAAAAAGTAACCATCTCGAAAAGGTAATTAAATTCTCCATATTAGTAAACCGGAAAAAACAGTAGAGGAGTCTGGTGTTGAGTTTCTAGTCCAAGTGTAGAAGGTCTGAGCCTGATTGTGCAGACTACCTCTACTCTTACGAGAGTACAGAGAGTGCAGAGTGTACAGAGAGTACTCCCACCATTCTGTGCCCTGCTTTGTGACCCAGCCATCAGCTGATCGATACACGTCACCCTTACCTACCAACCGTTCGAAAAACATCATTTGCTCCCTTCTTGAGCTACCCTTGCTTTCAATTCTCCTCATCTCCTCTGTCAACATCCAGACTCTGGACTAGACCCTTCTCATTAATAAACCCCTTGCTTGCTTCTTATTATATATTATCAATTATTAATAACAATATACACGTAAATATAGCAATATACCGTCTATCTATCTACTCCGATAATCCATTGTCTGACTAAACCCTTGCCTGTTCTACGCTTCGTCAAGTCACTTCGCCAAGTGGGCGAAGTCATGTCACTTTCTTTACTTTTACTTGCGATAACTCTCAAACTATCCAAGATAGAAAAAAAAATACTAAGACTTTTTTGTAGAGAATTTTTTGAAGAATTTTTTGAGCCCTACCAGGAATTTTTAAAAAATTCCTTAGCTGAGTTATGAATTTTTTAAATTTCTAAAATTAAAAAATTTTTTAAAGAAAAAATTTTTAAACAATTTTTTCGGATAAAATTTCCTCAAAAAAATAGCTAAAAAAGCGTTTTAAAAATACTTGGACAATTCCCAGGTGAGTACATATATACAAAGGACGTATGTTGTACCCTTGGGAATAAATTTTCCCAATAAATCATCCTGTGAGCAGAAATTCTATCTCGCTCTTAGCACATTCAAGTCTCACCAGACTCTAGACATCCTGGACTTGTATTGCACATATATAGTCCACCAGAGTAAAGTTTAGCGTCACGTCTGCGCACGCACGTGCTCGAGAGCGTCACGTGAAGAAAAAGACGTAAAAGGGTTAAGAAAGAAGGGAAGAAAAGTAAAGGTGAACGTGAATTTAAGAAGATTCAAGTACCTCCTAGTTCTCCTAGTGTAAAGAATCTCTATAAAAAAATAATAGAAATACTTTTATCCTAAAATTAATTTTTAAAAATTAATAACATTTTTGAGGAAATTTCCGATAAATTTACTCATTAAATAAATATTAACATTTAATTGACGTACCTCTAACCCTTGAGCTAGAATTTTAAAAAAACTAAAATATGCGCCTGGGCCCATAACCTGTTAGAGTAAAAATTTTGAAAATAAACTTCTAAAATTATCTTTAAAATTGTTATTGTTATTATTTTTTACTTCAATAATAAAAATATAAAAAGTATCTTTAGAAAAAACCCCAGATAAATTTTTTATTTTATTTATCTGAGTAGCAAACCAAACTTGAAATAAAAAACCACCCCAAGAAACATTTTCATCGTAGAATTTACAAACTTCTAGGAAGTTTTAAAAATTATCGCGTGGATCTCCTCAAGTAACTTATTTAAATCAATTCTCTACAATTTTAAATTTGCCGCGCTTGGTATTAGCCGCCATTTTGTGGCGCGGGAATTTCAGCCGCCATTTTGTCGAATACTATTGGAAATCTCTCTTTTTAATGATTTTTAATGAATTAGCCTTTTATAAACCAATTTTATGCAATAAATACTTCAATAATTATTTTTTAAGACGATTTTTAACTAACAAGTGATAAAAAAAAATTAAACATATTTCCTGGAGTAGGGGTCGAGCTTCTACTCATTTGAAAGCTTTCGAGTTCCAGAATCGAGAAAAGTCGATGCCGACGTATAGATTTGCATATATCACTTGTATTCCAAGTGAAAGCTGTCTAGTACCGGTAAACTTATTATTATACACATCCTTGATGTCAGAATAAACAGATTAGGTATTAATGTGACAGAAATCAACTGTCATATTAGCAAAGTGCGGCGTATAAATTATCCAAGAGATTGAGGGTACAATTTATAGAATTCAAATTTAAAAGTTTGTTTGGAAAATTATTATTTTATATCCGCTAATTGACAGACTTGGGTAATATACTATAAAATATATTGAGGATAATAATTTTTTTTTATCTTCAATATTTGGGCTAGAATTTTGAATTAAAAGTTAAACATTTAAATTTTTAATAAAAAAAAAGGCAATAATAATATTATTATACTTAATATCAAAAGTTTGAAACCCAAAAAAAATAAAAATGTAAAGTTCAGTGTCGTGATAAAACGCGACATAAATCTCTAGACACGTGAAATCGCCGAGCGAAAAAATAATAAAAAGTAACAGTTTCTCGTGGATTTGGTACACAACCAACGCCCTACGTGATTGGATTTTCTATTTCTATTTTTTCCAGTCTCAAGTCACCATTTACATGCTCGTCTCAACCGACGGATATCGATAAACCAATTTACTGTCCTATTTATACTCCCCCCAATCCTAAACCCTCTCCCTTAAACAAAAAGCTCCAGTAATCTTCTCCAGCTTCTCCAAACTCCGACGCGACCCACATTTCTTCATTCCTTACTTCAAGTCCTTTAAAATGAGCCCCCACACGACCTACTTCCCCTGGAGATTCTTCTCCAGGAAGGACCTGGACAATTCCAGGCCTGGACCGACCTCCTGGAGTATAGGGTCATGTGGGTACTCATTTTAAAGCTCTTGAGCTCTAGAATCCAGGAGAATCCTTCCCGACGTCCCAAGTCCTTATACCTAGGCACAGTCGCTCGAATTAACCAGAGAATTAATGTCCAAATTTACACGAGTATTTAAATCCGTGTTTACATTCCGTTTTCGTATTAGTGAGTAAATAGTTGTGTATAATTGCCTCTTGTGTTCCCTCCGGCTTCCATTGGTATGCTCTAAATATATATATGTACCATATATATGGCCCCTCTTAAGCTTCCCGTGATCCCTCTCACGGCTGGTAGTGATACTTCAAAGCCTTCTGCTTAAGAGCAACTTCTCTTTCATGTATATAATGTATATTGTGATCCCCCCACGGGCGTTTGGCTAAGTAAACGGATCCTAATGAGGGGCGGTGGTACATAACATACATACAACATATATAACACATAGTGTAGCTTGTAACGGGGAAACGCCGGTGTGGATACGACACTCTGAGACTGAGGAAGAAGCCATATTTGAAAGGGCAACCGTGACGGCTCATAAATTTCAAAGTAAACTACTACTCGAACCCATCATTTTGTTTTTATTTTAGCTCGTCCTTTTCCGGTGTGGTCTTTTTATTTTTTAAAAATTTCGTTTATCCTTTACGTAAAATTGTAATTGAAAATATTGAAAATATTTATCAGCGGTCGGTAATTCAATTAAATTTGACTTATCGATACTAGAAGTAGAAATTATTTAATTTAGTTTAAAATTGTAGATCCTGATGGTTCAAATTTTGCAATAAAAAATTATACTATCTATATCGACTGTCGATAATTATTTTTTATATCACGTGTCGGTATTAATATTAAATATTAACTATTAATATTTATTATTTAACAATAAATAATTTTTTTTAAGATATTTCTATATTAAAAAATTAATTTGACTAAAATAGACTTGAAGCTTTTTTATAATTTAAAATTTATGATAAATTATTGATAAAAGTATCTTAGTATCAAAATATTAGAAAAACCCGTTTTTTCAATAGTTTAAGTAAAAATTCAACTGTCGGTAAAAACAATTTATATCTACAGTCGGTAACAATGTTTTTTTTAACCAATTAATTTTAAACTTACAGCTATGGCAAGTCCCTCAAGCCCCGGACTAACAGACTCAGCAGTCCCATCGGATACAGACTTCTGCCCTAATTTATCGGCCTTCGCATTTGGAACTTCCGCTTCTGGAGAACAACAAGCCGAAGGGAGAACTTCTTTGTCCGACAACAACTTGCACTTGAGTTACAACGACCACCACAGTTCCGAGGAGGAGCTAGAGGTTATAAACAGTCCGAAAGTGGTCGCGTCTCAGGGCCTAAGGCCCGCTACTGCCCCAGAGAAAAGAAAGTGGTCCCAAATTAGCAATTCTAACAATTTGCAGTCGCACTGCACGCAGTCGCAGGCGATTCCTGGCTCTGGAAGGCCTGGGCCAACTCCGGGGCCTAGTAGTGACACTGATGTAGCAGCCAGCTGTTCTGCTCCTGTTAGCAGGGCTGGAAAGGAACCTGGTTCGGGTTCCAGCGATGAAGAGGTACAAATTTAATTGATTTTGTTGATTTAAGTCTTGAATTTTTAACTTTAAATCCAAAATTCGGGGTTAAATATTGAAGATATAAAAAAATTATGAGGCCTATTTTGTAGAGAATTAAATTCCCTACAAAAAAGATTTTATAAATTTTGTCGTAGCTTTAATTGTTGAGCGAGAAATTAAAAAATACTAAAATACAAGTCTGGGCCCATAACCTGTTGAATTTATTTTTTATTTTATTAAAAATTAAATTGATATATTTTTAGGTCCAAGGTCTTCTGGGAGCCAACGTAATCTCTCAACCGGTCCAGTTCCGAAGTTCGCCACCAGTTGACGCTCACAAACCTGGACGGTCCCAGTCCCCACCGCCTAAACTTTTCCACGCTGCTAAAGCGCCACCTAGGCCCAGGTCCAGGCCCAGGCATCATCATCTCTATCACCACCATCACCATCATCATCATTATCAGCACCAGCATCAGCATCATCATTATCAACAGCAGTACAGTGTAGATATGGACGTGGGTGAACTGAGTGCGTGTAGTCCCAGAAAGAGACATAGACCGCCTCATAGGCAACCAAGGCCTTGTTTAGATTTTGAGAAAATGCAGCAGGTAAATTATATAAAAGAATTTTTTTAAGTTTCTAAAGCTTATGGGCCCAGATATATTCATTGAAAAAAATAAAAACTGGGCCTATAGCTCTTTAAAAATTCAGAAAAAATGCCTTTGAATTTTCTAAGGCCTGTAGACTGGGCCCATAACCTCTATAAAGCTAAAAATTAGACTTAGAACTTCAAAAAAGTACAAATTAATCCAATAGATTGAAAAATAAACTAGCTACTGGGTCCATAACCTGTAGAAAAGTCAAAAACTAGGCCTATAACTTTCTGAAAATCAAGACAAATCGCTTTTTACATGTTACAAACTCAAAAAATAGGCCTAGAACAATTTCAAGACCTCTAAACTGGACCCATAACCCATAAATAGCTAAAAAGTAAGCGCGAAGCCTTAAAAAACTAGAAATTAAGTGTATAGACTTTTAATAAATTAGAAACTAGGCCCATAACCTGTTAAAAAACTTATAATACAGATTTTGAATAGTTAAAGAACCTATAAACTGGGCCCATAAACTACAAAAATTCCAAAATTAATTTTAAAAGTTAAAAAAACTAGAAATTGAGTCTATAAATTGTAAAAAAATGAGAAACTGGGTCCATAACTTGTTGAAAGTTGGAAACTGGGCCTGTAACCTTAAAAGAAACAACAAATATGGCCTATAACCTGTTGAAAAATTCTAGAAATGGGCTCTGAATATTTTTATAACTTATAAATTGGGCGCATAACTTACTAAAAGTCAAAAACTAATTTTAAAACTCGAAAAAATTAAAAATTGAGTCGATAAACTGTAAAAAAAATTAGGAACTGGGCCCATAACCTGTTAAAAAGTTAAAAACTGGGCCTATAACTTGTTGAAAAATTCTAAAAATAGGCCCTGAACTCTTTGAAACCTATAAAATAGACCCATAACCTATAAAAAGTCAATAATTAATTTTTAAACTTTGAAAAACTAAAAATTAAGTTTTTAAATTGTAAAAACTGGGTCCATAACCTATTAAAAGTTGAAAACTGGGCCTATAACCTGATTAAAAATTCTAAAAATGGCCCTAAACACTTTTAAAACCTATAAACTGGACCTATAGCTTATAAAAAGTTACAAATTAATTTCCAAATTTGAAAAAACTAGAAATTGAGTCTATAAACTGTGAAAAATTTAGAAACTGGGCCCGTAACCTGTTAAAAAGTTGAAAACTGGGCTTATAACCTGTTAAAAAATTTTAATACTCGGCCCAGAACACTTTTAAAACCTATAAACTGGGCTCATAACCTTTAAAAAGTCGAAAACTAATTTTATAACTTGAAAAAAATGGAAATTAAGCTTATGAGGTGTGAAAAATTATGAAACTGGGCCCATAACCTGCTTTTAAGTCGAAAAAAGGGCCCATAACCTGAAAATCCACCCAAAATAACAATCAAAAAAATTAAATTTTTCCACAAACTAATAATTAAACTCTCCCAAAAACTCTTTAAACAATTTTCCATCGGATTTAATAATAATTACTGTATTTTCGGGGTGAAAATAGTTTTATAAAAGTATTAGCTCCGGACATTGGGAAATAGTTTTTCGACTGCCAACACACATTAGTATATATATATATATATATGTACATATGTGATCGGGTGAAAGGGTTATTATTACTAGCGCGCATGAACGCACACCGCGATGGGCCTTGGTGGTAAACCAAACGCGATTCTATTACACTTGACTGGGCGTGAAATTGCAAAGCTAGATACTACAGCTTACTCACACTCACACATGCTGCTAGACAGTGATGCTATGACAGAGCTAGACTGGACTATTTGTATTTATCTACCTCTATATATATTTGTGATTGAAATCGCACATATGTACCAGAGGAAAAAACTACGCCACGATTTTCTGTCAATTTTTTTTACTCACAAAAAAAATGTCGCTTTTTATTTCGGTTTTATTTGCAGAAAGTTACGCTTGAGTACCCGATTAAATTGCTTAAATTACCTAATTGTTTATTGGATTTATAAATTAATTGTTCAGTACTCACATTTTCCTCCCACGCCTTCAATTTTTCAAAATTTCTTCCATAATTTCAATTTTTCTTGAATTCTCTGAAAAAAATTAAGTTTTTAATTAATTTTTATCATAACTCGGCTTGTAATTATTTAAAAAATAATTTTTTTATCCTAAACAAAAAGCATCCTTCAAATTTTTAATAAATTTAATATTTTTTTAAATATAAGCGCTTTTAATGCTTCTAAAGATTTGGAAAGCTGAAAGAGAATTTAAGTTTAAATTGAATAGAATTTAAATTTAAATTTATGATAGCTCGGTAAAGTATCGTTAGAACTATATAACAGTGGCATCCCGGAAAATACGGAGCAATTAGTCGAGTACGTGAAATTCGTAACACAAAAGCATTCCTTTTAATTAATATTTGTTGGGTATTTTTAGATAAGATTTATTAGCTTACTTTTTTTATTATTTCTTGGCTTCTAATTATTATAAAAATAATATAAAGAGCTTTTTTGGAAGCTTCTTTTATTGTGAACAAAAAAGTGTTCCTTGAAATTTTTAATAAATTTGATAGTTTTGGAGATATTAGTGCTTTAAGTAAAAAAAAAACAATATTGAAATTTTTAATATAATTTCTGCGAGTTTAAGGAGATCTATGCGAAGTAAAATTTTTAAAACTTCCTGAAAATTTGTAAATTCAATCTACGTCCTAATAATTAATAAAAAAAATTAAAAAACAAGTTTCCGGGATATTTAATTAAATAATTAGGTTTGAATATTGTAATTTTTACTATTAACTCTTAAGGTAGTTTGATCGTCGCATTCCGAAGTCAAATTAATAGATATTTTTTTTTTTTTTTGCAAGAGATCACTCGAAAAATAGTATAAAATATAAACTTATTTCTAATCAGAATTTAATTGATTAAATTCAATTGATAATTATGGTCAAATAATTATAATAATATAACTATTAAAATATCAACTGACAAGTACTGGGCTGTCACAAAACAATAACAACTGTTATAGGTTATGTAAGTTCGGTACTTAAAACAGTTGCTCATGGTGTTAATTTATTGTTTAAATTTGCAAATATCACTTCAATACATTAAATCTAGTATAATTTACGTCAACTTTTAATGTATGTTTAATAACAATTTATTTTAATGCAAAAAAACTTTATGATTATATTTCAATTTCAAATTTGCCGCGCACCGAGAAATCGCCATTTTTTCACTAATAAAGATGGGGGAGTAATGTCTCCGACAAACAACAAAGATAGAAACCAATTTTTGATATTAAAAAATTAATTAAATTAAAACTATGTGGTAAATCGTTATCAAATTTTGATAGAAAATGGATGAAATATTGTTCTATCTATTGGAAAGTTTTTTTTATTGGATCAAGTTGGCCGATTTTTTATAAATCCTCCGTTTCCGGAGTTATTGAACAAGGACACTTATAAGAGACCGTGTATTTTTGCAAAACTTTAATTAATTATATCTCTTAAACGGTGTGGTAAAAAAATCTGATTTTTTTTTCTATAGATGTATTAAATCATAATCTTTCGAATGAATATAAAAAAATATGGGGTCAAGTTGAAGTCATTTGAAGACCAAACTACCTTAAGAAATGTTTATTGAAATTTAATAAATTAAATAATTGTCTTGAAATAAATTAAATTATTAATAGTTAATAAATCCTATCAGTATATAAATATTCAAAAAAAATTTTTTTAATCATAAATTTCACTTAAAATTATAAAATTTATTCGGACATAAATAATGACTTTCATTAATCAATTACACCCGTAGTTTATTACTCACGTTATTGCACTGTTAAAAAGTGTCACCTGTGGTGCAGGTGGTAAAAATCATCTGCAGTTAACACGCGAAAAAATAATTAATTAGTTAAGGTGATATAATGTATAAATAAATAAAGAAACAAATAAATAAAAACATGAGGGCGGAGGAAACACATTTTCTGTTGCGAAGTAGCAAAATAAAATAAAAAAAAAAAAGGGAGAAACAAGGTGCCAGGTACAGTAAAAGACGACACTTTGGAAAGTTTTCGAATGAACGAACAAAGGAAATTTCTACATGTATACAAAGGGAGATGAAATTGCTATAGAGAAAATGTACTTGCAACATCTTTTCTCTTTCCTCATCTCAACATAATATTTTATTTTATTTTTTTTCCTCCACTCGTCATTCTTATACACACCGTCTCGTTTACTCGCTCACATTTTAGCTCTCATTCCAGTTTCTCACTTAGCTGTAGACACTTGCATTACGATGAAAATGTTTCTTGGGGTGGTTTTTTATTTTAAGTTTCGTTTGCTACTGAGATAAATAAAATAAAAAATTTATGTGGGGTTTTTTTAAAAGATACTTTTTATATTTTTATCATCCAAGTCACAAATAATAACAATAACAATTTTAAACATAAATTTAGAGGTTTATTCTGAAAATTTTTACTCTAACAGATTATGGGCCCAGGCGCATATTTTAATTTTTTTAGAATTCTCTAAACTATAATTGTTAATCATTTAAGTTACTCCCAATAAAAGGTTTTGAAATAAGAAAAAGAAGTTGGTAATAGAAGCGATGTTACTCCTTGACTAATTAGCCTCTGCCAATTAGCGTTTAATGAGACCCTTAGAAAGGAAATCTCGGAGCAGCGAAGGCGAAACGAACCACCCATTACATCAGTCGACAACTTCTTCAACCCCTAGACCCTTACAATCTCACATAGTTGTCCTCACATTTATTAACCTCCTATCTATAACTCTATTCTCGAGTCCCTTATTCACGCCCTTATCTCTTATCGATAGTCTGCTCTCCCTAACTTTATCCTTCACTTCACCATTTATGTATTTTTCAACTTTTTCTTCTTACTGGCTCAGTTGACTATCGGGATCACGACCCTCCTGACTTTCTTTCGCTTTGCTAGCCACCAAGTATCAATTAATTTATTATTTATTGTTATTATTAAAAAAAAAATAAATTAG